GAAATTTGTAGATGTAAGAGTTTGGATAGATACGAATGATGATGATTATCTTCAAGAGCAAGAATATTATCTTCGATAGTCTATTGATGGTTTGATCTTATGATTGTTTGATAGCGATAGAGATACCACGCGGGCAGCGTGTGGCCGATGACCAGAATACTGAGAGAAAATGATTTACGAGCCGCTTTACTATGACGTGTGAAATGCGTGACTGCGACACTTCCTTTTATGCATCGAAGCAGACTTTGTAATAAATCTGTCGCGCAAATCAGCTCTTTGATAAATGCTGCAGGGATAAAATAGGTGGAAAGTTGGTCCCAGGTGGAGTAACTGAAACAATGCTAAGGTTAAAATTTGCTTCAGGTAAGTACTTACGTTAAATGGCTGTCGGCAGCAAGAAAAAGATAACAATTTTTAAAACTAGTGGAAGTACGAAACTGTGCGTTAACGCATCATAAGTGGAGGAGAAATGTTGCTCTTTTATCTGATCATCGATCTATATTAAAAAGCCTCTAAAATAGAATGTACATTCACTCACCATGCATGATGTATCGGTTTCGCTTTTTACACAACGTTCTATTCTCAGTGGATAAAGATTGTGCAGAAAATAAGGGAGTTACAAAAAAGTCGTGGATTTAAAGACTGAGATTCACTCAGACGTAAAATTAATGCATTCATTAAGGGTCTGAGCAAATCCCCTACTACTGAATTTCATTTGAGACAAGTCGAGAGTTGAACTCGAAGCACACACAGATTTTTCAATTTCTTCTCATATGACAAATAACAAAACTTCAATCAAATTCTGTCAAGATATGATCACAGCAGGAATTTGGCGAGGAGGAGCGTGTACCACCCGTTCGATTGGAGATTGTATCGTAACTTCGTCAATCTTGTCCCGATGTAGATGTACCCATGGTGTTACTGTAATTGCAGAGTTATCAAAAAACATTAGGAAAGAAGTTTATATTATGGAAAAATTATAAAACAAAATCACATATTTAGCACATACCATGTTGCACACACTTTGCACCAGGTTCACCATGACATTGTCGGCCACCCCAAGAATAATTACCTAGCTTGATTTTACATGACGGACAATTTACCTAAAACCTAATTTTTAGAATTATTTTACATAGAAAAAACTTCCAAAAGCAAACATCTGAAAAAAATTATTACTAACCTTGCCCTCATATTCAGATACATCCATCCATTTCATTGGCTCGATCAAATAACCGAATTCGCAATTCTAAAACAACTGCAGTTTGTTCTCTTGTACGCGAATCTTCTAGAAAGAGATACCTTGCCATCGCAACGTTTGTGCGTGACCAGGTGTTCACCAAAGAAAAGCACATGACGACACTTTCCACATCTGCAATATTGCGGGGGTATAATTGATCATGAAATGATGTCATGTTTTGTTTTTTACAATTGTAGTCAAGGAAATTCTGTTTGGAAAAATGCGCGCGTAAAATTCCCTAATGAAATCTCACTCAAAATCCTATTAAAGAGATAACAGGGGAAAGAATTCATGCATTTCCTAAGTGTAGGGCTACAGGATTTACGAACACGGTTTACTAACACCACGTTAAGATTTTTTGAGCGAATAATGTATCAAAAACGAGTAACAGATTCCAAACAAATAAATCGTACTTAAGAAAGAAATATAACCGTCGCACCTGAATTTACTACCTCGTGTTTTGCCCATGTTCTCTTCGTCAACATCTCTGACAAATGTGGCCGCTCGCTCGTCAGATCCTTCAAATAAATTTTATGGAAACACGCGAAAATCTAACGAGGGTGAAACACTGTAGGTCAAGATAGAGGAGATGCCATACTTTGTGTCAATGATAGCTACAAAGGCTTTTGCAAGACGGACGGGGAGCCAAAACTGTTGAGAATGAAAAAAATCGATAGGGGTTTAATCTGGTCTGAATTAAAAGCAGTGTCCGCGCAGATTTGGAGCTCCTCAGTTC